ATGAGTCAAAGAAGATGCAATGAATGTAAACGATAACTTTAGGAGGGAAGTTGGGATCCCATCAATTCCATCAGCCTTGCCCACAGGGATATCATTCACAAGTTCACACAGTTCATCAATAGTAAGTAATTTTAGCTCGAAGGTACTGTCACGATATTCAACAAAATCACGAAAGCTGACCCGAGGGAGATTCATTTGAAACTACCCGGAACCCCTCCCTGAAAGAACAGTCTATTTACGCCTTGTCTGGGGCATTTTAACTAGGCATAAATGACTGGGTAATCTTTCAAAAAGTCCATTCATTCTTAATCGTGTGAATTCTAGCGGTACATAAATTGGGTTAACCAAACACTACTTCATTCCGCATTTGTATTATCCAACATGTTTCATTGTCGGTAAGTAAAAGGTGACTGTAGGAAAGCCAGCGTGTGACATCTAAACAACAAAGATGAACGAATAACGAGATAGAAAAGGATCTTCGACAACGTGTTTCACCCAAAAATACAAAATGGCCGCTTTCTAAAGCTTTGAAGCTTTCGTAACTTAGCCGATCGTAGACTGGAACCTATCCCCAACGATAGTAAACCACGTGACAAGCGTTCGGTTTACCGTAAAAAACCCAGCCAGACAGCAAGCCAGCCAGCCAGCCAGGAATAAATATCTTGGAATAAATATCTTGGATCATTACAAAGTGCGGATTACAATTCGTGTAAGCTACACAAAATTTATCAATATTTTAGTATTCTTTTTGTGTGGCTTACACAAATTGTGTAGCCACATTATGGCACGATCGGATTTATTTATTTACATATTTAAATATTTATTTATTTGCCCACGAAAGTCGAGCGCCTGTCACGTGGTCTAGTGTCGTACTGCGCACTAATCTGAATCAGCCATCTTGGTAGTAAACGTGGTCTTTAGTCACTTTTTTCAGGTGATCGTATCACGAGTTAGTTCTCCTCACACAAGCCAACACACCCAGACCCGGCTTGTGTTACAAGTGCAGCTTGTGCAAAAGCTTTTACGCTCTTAAAAGACAACATTTAACTGCTTGAATCTTCGGTACGGGTTGTACTACACTGAAAGGAGTCATTGCACTCTCTGAAGCCAGCAGCCATCGGTTTGATCTATCGGTGCGGGTTGCACCACTGAGTGTCTGAAAGTGCCATAAAGTGAAATAAGTTGTATTGTACTTGCATTCTCCTTGCACTGTTGAGCATTCACGGAGGCAGATTTCAAAACGTCAAAAGTAAGTATGGGAATCTCAATTGAACAATACCAGTCAAGGATTGGCTCTCATGACAATTTGGTGAAGACAAAGGATATCTTATCACGTTTTAAGGATCGTTTTTAGAGTTTAATGCTTACGATGTTCTATTTAAATGTATTATACTTTCCATTATTGAAATTAGTTGTTGGACAGCACAAAATGTGGAATGATGTGACGTTTTGGTTTTTACAAATGATTTTCTACTATGCCTAGATTCCATTGCTTATAGGAGCTTAGTAGTTTAATGTTACAACTGAAATGTGATTAGTATTATGTTTTCCAAGTAATGCCCAGAATTATTCAGACCTTAACATTTCATGACTTCCTGTAAGCGTGGCACATGTCAAGTTGACCATTCACATGATGTTGTCAAGTTCACCTATTCATTTCATGTCTCCACATAGCTTGAATTTGGGAAACAACTGGCATGAAATAATAATAATATCAGTAATAAGAAAACTTGAAAGATTCTGATACTTTAAATCGTATGATACTATCATGCACTTGCCTGTACATTTAACTGTTCTGTTTAAGTAATGTCTCTGATTACTGTTCCTGAAATCTGTTATGGTGACCCTCTATCTCTACTGAACTCTCTGTTAAATAAAACCTCCAGGTCAAATTGTAAATCTTATTGGGTTAAAAACTATTAGCAATTTTAATGTAATGTTACTTTAGAGTACTACTCAACATATGATTCATTAAAATGTTGCTAGTGTTCTGATCTTGTTATGCACCTATCTTTTTTCCCTAAATTCTTTCATTTGCAACCCCATCCACCTACCTCAACTAAATTCTTTTGTGTTCTTTATTGAAAATACAGTCCCACAAAACCCAAATACAATAATTATAGTAAACATTTTGCTCCCGACCAACTGAAAATAGAACTTTGTGCCCTAATGATCAAGAGAAACCTGCGCTCAGCATTGTGTTACTGTACATGTGTGTATTGTCCAAAATTAGTCATACATTCAAACCAAATCAAGCTCCCAAAGGCTAATAGTGTAGATTACATCATTTCTCGAATGTCCTGGCCCTTCTGCAAAGCTTTGTGTAATGATACACAAAGTGCCAAACTATTCATATGAAAGGTTTCCCTAGAGTTAATTTCACATCACTTGCCGTGGAAAGGACAGTCAACCTATAATCTTCAGAACTCAATTCCACTTCGTTACATGAACAAAATCATGACAGAATCTACCAGGTCACTATGGGAGATGGTGCCAACGTTTTTTTAGTTCCTGAAATCCTCAAGTTACATGTGCAACCTTCGGTGTCAAAATGAGACCTCCATAGCAAAGTTTGGCCATTAACCCTCATCATGAAAATGAATATTTCAGGACTATTGTATGCTTGTTATTTTGTTTTATCGATGAACAGGAACAATTTTGAAAACTATCTAACCGTAATCAGATATTAGCTCTTCTAATAGAAGCTCAATAAGACACCAGACACTAAAAAACAGCTCAATTTCGTAAGCCACACATGTACGCGTTGCGGACCTTTATTTTTTTAATTATTTTTATTTTTTGCTGTCGTTAAGACGTGTTCCGGAAACTACTTTGTTGTCACAGTAAACATTCCCTCGAAATATGTAAGAAATATGTCTTTCTCGGTGTAAAACTTGTGGAAGTTTTTGAATTGTCATTAAAATGATTGGCCTGAATGTTTGTCGCTTATTAACGCACCAAAGCATGTGAGGTTTTTTATGAAATTCGAAAATAATATTTCTCTTGTGACATCCTGGAGCACAACAACGACTAAAATATCTTCTGTTGTCCTTTAAAATAGATTTTCTCAGGTACTGATAAGAATATCGATCTTTGTTAACCTATTATTTGCTGAGTGATGCTGTCCAGTTTGCTTGCAGGTCCATGGAAACGCAGAGGCTGGTAATTCAGTAGAGCAAACACCATTAGTTTTGTGTATAAGGCTCGTATGCGCCTACCAAAACAAAAACTATGAGCACTTTTTGTTATTTTCGTAATATATACTTTAGAAGCGCGTGTAAGACGATTTTTCCGGGAGACGCCCTATTTGGTTGACAGTGACCTTTAAAGGGATTCTAATTCAGGGTTTGAATAGAAGGCCATGTTTTCCGATACCGTTTTCAAATTATCATCCATAAAAGTATTGCTTAACAAGGTTTACATTTTCCGGTAGGTCCAGCGTCAAGTAATGGAGTCTCATATAGACTTAGCAACAAGTTCCCATCTTCATTTAGTTCACTTAAAGCTAAATAATACAGAAGATGAGTTGAAGAACACAAAAGCTGAGTTAGAGAAGGCCCTGCAACAATTACAGTTGTCAAGCATAAAACATACCAACTCTTTTCTTTGGCGGATTGAAGGTTTCAGTAAGATTCTCAGAAGAGCACAGAAAAAAGATGAAACCGAAATAGAAAGTGATCCATTCTACACAAATACTGAAACAGAATGTTATGGCTACAAGTTAAAAGTAATTGTTTGTCCTAACGGTGATGGCGATGGAGAAAAAACTCACCTTTCTGTATACATTGTTATAATGAAAGGTGAATATGACGCAATATTGCCCTGGCCTTTCTCTAAAAAAGTGAAGTTCACGTTAATTGATCAAGAGGAGGATCCGGATCAACGGCAAAACAAAACTCATAAGTTCGTTTGGCAAGATTGTGAAAGCTTGGCAAGGCCCGTGACAGGCGAAAACGATGGAGTGGGTAGTCCAAAATTTGTATCTCATGAGGAACTTAATTCGAGACGCTTCCTTGTGGATGACACCTTGTTTCTTCTGGTTGACATTGAGTGACCATTAGTTTGATTTCACCGGTGCTCCAGCCCCGAAAGTAATATTAAAAAAAAAAGCAGATAGATTTTGCCTCTCGATTGATTTTGATTTTGACATATTACATGACAAATAAACTCTGATAAATCTTTACCTTTAGTAATAAACATCTGAAACTATTCAGTTTATTGATACTGGGGCCAGGTTGGTGAGCTCACTACGCTCAAAAAGACTCAATCAAGAAGAAGAAACTTTAGATTTTGATCGAATGCGATGATAACTAAAATGGTTCATGCTTGTATACTTCGATAGTTCCAACGGTAAGGTTCAACGAGCCAAGATTCCAGTTTTTTTCTTTTTCTGCAGTTCAAAAATTTAAAAAAATAACAACAGCAACTCAGCCAAAGAATTGAGAGGCTGTTAGAATGTAGATATGCTTTTTAGGATTATAAGGGAGGAGGGGGGGCACAGGTACAGCCATTTCCGACCTTTTTGGGTTTCTCTTGCGGGGTAATGTGACATTTATATTGACAATTTACATTTATTCTTGACCTTTGGCCGCTCATGTAAAACGAGAATAACTACTGACATAAGGTCTGAGGAAATAGCAGCGAAAACGTAACTTTCGATCTAACCACATTCTTCATCAGCAAAGTGAGCGTGCATTGTCCCGTGATTATAAGTCTGTAAAGCAATAGGTCGTTAAAACTTGAACCGCGGAAACTAAGGGTGTATAAAAGTGACATATATGAAAGGATTTCTGAGTGATTTGTACTGTAAGTGGATTTAAATATTAATTTGGAAATAAACACACTTAACCTTTAGAATAGCTTACCATGTAAGATGTTTCGTACGATTCCCCTCCGGCTCTATACCATGCCAGATATATTTTTCGTGCAACCCAGCCTAAAAAAAGTTACGCGTTACTTGACGTAACAGGTAACACAGAAAGCCAAACAATCAGACAAGGTACTAACATGAGAACATGACTCAAACAACTCTTTGCCCGTACATCAATATAGCTACAGATAATAAGAATACACACCGTAACAGATCGTCACAAGCCAGTACACACAGTAACAAGGCGTAACAAGCCGTCACGAGTAGTAACTGGCCGTTACACACCGTAACAGATCGTCACAAGCCAGTACACACAGTAACAAGGCGTAACAAGCCGTCACAAGGAGTAACTGGCCGTTACACACCGTCACAGATCGTCACAAGCCAGTACACACAGTAACATC